CGTGTCACAGAAGATGCAGAAGCCAACTGCCCACGTCGAATACTGCAAGGCCAGCATCTCCGGAGGGACACGGGGGGCAGGACGGTGCCACCCCCCTCGGCAACATAGGAAACAACTGAGGCATCGGCAATGGCGGGGACGGTGGCAGATAATCCCTGTCTCCCCAAGCCTGGATGGGTTGAGAGCTCAGACAAAGGTCACAGCTCAGCAGCTCACCGGGACGGGCCAGGCCCATGCCGCCGGCCGGGGGCACGGTCAGCCACACCTTGCAAAACCCCAGGCCCGTGGGACCAGAAAGATGCGGGCACGGCAGGCATGACCCACGAGCGTTCCCAGCTTCCACGTCACGTGCTGTACTGGGTGTCACCATCAGCCCGTTTTACAGGTGAAGAAACTGGTGCCAAGAGATAAAGGGTTTTCGCCTAATGCCGCACAGCAGGTGAGCACTGGGGCAGGGATTACCTGAGCCTAGACTCCTCCAGGGCCCAAGCCCACCTTCTTGCACCATCGGGCCAACACCGCTGCTGTGGGTTGAATCACGTCGCCCCAAAAATTCAGATGTTGAAGTCCTAACCACCAAGACCTTTGAATGTGACCTATTTGCAGATAGGGTCTTTGAAGAGGTTCAGGTAGTGAGAGTACCATCTTTGGAGGTAATCAAGAGATGGCGAGATGTCTGGACGACCACATTTGGGAATCCTAAGGGTATTAGGGTGGGTCCTATTCTGATATGACTGGTGTCCGCCTGAAAAGGAGAAACGGGACACAGACGTGCACAGAGGGAAGACGACCTGAGGACACAGGGAGAAGACCACAGCTTCGGAGAGAGGCCTCAGAAGGAGCCGACCCTGCTGACAGCTCCACCTTGGACTTCTAACCTCCAGAACTGTGAGGCAGCAAGCCTCAGTTGGCTAAGCCCCCCAGGCTGCAGAGCCCTGCTACGGCAGCCCAGCAAACTCACACAGCACCCACGTCAGGAAACCCTCTCCACCCAGGCCTCAGTTTCCCCATCTGTGCCTGGCGTAAACCCTGGGCCCCTTTCAGCAGCACCGCGGGACGTGACAGGACGCAGGAGAGGTGCAGAGGTGAGGAGGGGCGGGCTGGGGCCCCTCACAGCCCGCAGCCTGGAGCTCAGCCTCACACCGCAGCCGGCCTCTGGCCTCCGAGAGAACAGGACCGGGGCGCCTGCTCCTTTGTGAGGCCGGCTTCTGGGCGCACAGTGGAGGCTTCATTTATCAGCCCGGCAGGGGGGTGAACTGGAGGCCCCAGCGTCAATTACAGTCGCCCCCACCCCAGGGCGGCCGGGCACAGCGGATCCACAGGAAAAATAATAACGTGCGCGGAGTCTTGGGATGAATCATCGCGGAGGAAGCAGCTGTGTTGATGAAATTTTAAAGCCAACAGGAGAAAGAAAATACGAACTGCAATACAGTAATTTAGCCCGTGAACACGCTGGCACATTTTTAATTAAAGCTATTTTGGAGTTAAATAGAGGCCGTGGGGGGAGGGGCAGGGCAGTGGGGCGTGGGAATCTGGAGGGGCGCTCTGCCCTCCCCTCCCCTACCCAGGTCACCTCGTGCCACCTCAAAGAAGAACACTCCCCTCTCCTGCCTTTCACCAACAGAAGACTCCCCACTTTGCGCTGAGCTGGGGGTTTCTGTACAATTTGATTTCGCGGAAAAGATTTCAACGTCAGGATCATAAACTCTCACAGGCCAGAGCCCATGAGGCTGAGGACAGCCACTCACAGCCACAATCTCTTTCTTCAAGATTCCCAAATGTGGTCATCCAGCCATCCAGCCATCTCTTGATTACCTCCAAAGATGGTGCCCTCACTACCTGAACAAAGACCACCTCCCTTGGTTAAATAGACCCTTCTTATTCTGAGCAAGACACAGCCTCCTCTCTTGGCCTCGGAGACTGGGAGGGGAGTGGCACAGCTCCCCAAGGTGCATTCACCCAGTTCAGCTGCGCCGGGCACTGGAGACATGGATGTGACTGCAGCCCAGGATGCAGAGCTCGGAGGAGGTGCTGGGCCCCCTGAAGGTGGTCAGGGAGGGCTGTGGGCAGAGACAGGCCAGGAGGCAGGAGGCTAAGAAAACCCCACCTTCCCTGGGCTCCCCCGAGAATGGGACCACTACTCTCATCGTGGGCTGAGCCCTGCCACGGGCTCTCCCCACTCGCTTGGTCCTCCATCAGCCCTTCCCGTGCACGCGAGTCCTGCTGGCTGGGACCTGGGCAGGTGAGGTACCACCTGCCACCGGGAACCCCCGAGCAGGCTGGGGGCCCCTCCTCACGCTGTCTCTCCTCCTCTCTTTCTCCTACACGCTCGCGACAGCAAAGCCCTCCTTCTTGGCCAGCAGCGCCACACGCCCTCGGGTGGCAGGGCCGTGGTCCCGGAGACTCTGTGGCTCTGCGGACGCCAGGGGCTCCTGGTGCGTTTGCTGACGGTGAGGTTCGGGGCCAGCCCCTCTGCTGCAGCGTGGGAACGGGGCAGGAGGGCATGCAAGGCGGGGTGGCCACGGCCCCAGCACCAACAGGCAGCCCCCTTCCCAGGATGCTGGGCTCGGCCCCGACACCCGCTTGCTGAGACCCTGGCAGAGCCCACTGGCCGCAGGGTCCGCACTGAAGAAGAAACTAGGGATGGGACCTGGGTGCCCCCTGTCCCCACAACACACAGACGCACACACGGGCTCATTCAGCCACCACAGGCTGAATGCTCAGCTTCACGAGGCTTCGTCTGGGAAGGAAGCAAAGTTCTACTAAAGCAATGCAACACGCTGAACGCTTCTGCACTGGATGATCTGAGTCCCGCGCCCCCGCGTATGTAACAAGTGTGCAAAAGCAGGTTTCTGCCCTTGAATCCCGGTCTAGCTGCCTGCAGCCAGCAAGCCCGGGTCGGGGGCCAGGCGAGAGCAGGCACCTACACAGCTGATGGGCGTCTGGGGTCTGCGCCCGACCCGTCTGGCCCAGGGCGTGGGCACAGGTGGGGATGAGGATCTGGGCAGAACCCTGCTGCTGCCTCCAGGGACAGGGCAGAGCAGAGCCGGGGACAGAGGGGGCCCTGGGCAGAGCCACTCTCCACGCTCAGGCTCCCATCAGCCTCCCACTCTGCACAGACGGGCAGGGGCCGGAGCACACAGCCATGGCGGGAGGGGCTGGCGAGACCTGGGTGCCCCGAGAGAAAGGCGGGAGCAAGGGCTGCTGCTCCACGGCTCGCACGGGCACACGTTTCCAGCGAGTCCACGGTCGGGGCCACACTTGGAACTGGGGTGTCTCTTCCCAGTGGGACAATGTGGCCCAGGACAGCAGGGACCAAGGGGTCAAGGATACGCCTGTCCTTGTGGCAAGAAGACCAGGCGTGGTCTCTGGTTGGACCTAACGTACTTCCCGTGGAAAGGACGTGGCAAACAGCACCCCAAATTCGCAGCTTGAGCTCTCGACCTGCTTCTCCATGGGGACAATGAAAAGAAGCATGGCCAGGTCCGGGCACATGCAGGAGGCCGCTGACCCATGCAGGAGGGCCTGGGCACATGGGCCTGGCCTTTGCTCTGCGGAGCAGCCGCCCATCCCCCAGGAGGTGGCCCTGCCGTGCCCTGGAAAGAGAAGGGCCTCCCCAGCCCACTGGCGGGGACCTGCTCCAAAGCCAAGGCCTCTGCCCCCTCCGCCCCTCCGCCCTTCCGCCCCCCCAATGCTCCTGGGATCTCCGCTGCAGCAGCCCCCGCAGCCCACCCTGCACACCCTCCTGAGCAACCACGGCCACCCTGTAGGGCCCACATGGACAGTGCGGGTCTAGGGAGCCCACCCCACGGCCAGGCGAGACCCCAGCCGCCTCCCTGCCCTGTCCAGCCCCCCAGAGCCGGCACATCCTTGGGCTACAGCCCTCCTGCCACACAGCACCTTGCACCGACTATAAAACCACACCAGCCAGCCTTGCCATTCGGAGCCTGGCTGTGCGCCCGGCGTGTGCGTCCTCGTCGTGGGGGTGGAGGAGGGTGAGAGGAAGCCAAATAGAGGACATGTACTCTGCTCAGTCCTGCCGGGCTGTGGGGACTGTCCCCACGGCCCATGCAGGGGCAAGACGCGGGGATGACCAAGGCTAGGGCTGCACCCCTGCTCGAGCCATGAGCCTCGCAGCAGCCACCCGTCGGGCAGAGAGGGTACCTCGTGCTTCCTGAGCAGGGCAGTCGGCACCAAGCCCAGCTGGTCGCCTAGCAACGGGGCCAGGCAGCTGAGCCATCCCTGGGGTTGGTTCCCAGAGAAACGCTTCGGGCATCCCAGGCGAGCGAGGACAGCAGGGGGGCAGGCTGGGATACAGCCAGGGACGGATGGTACGAGGGGTCGGAGGCTGGAGGGCTCAGCCAAGGCAGCTGGCCCCTGCCACCCCTCACCAGCCCCCACCCACAGCGGGGAAGGCCCTTGACCCAGCAGTCACCGTGCCCCTCCACGCTCCGGCCATACTCGAGAGGCACAGCCGACCCTCACCTGAACCCACCTCCTCCCTGCAGCCCACACCCCTCACACAGTCTCCAAGCTGCCGTGCCTCTGCTGCCTGGCTCTGCACAGGGGCTGCAGCCTCCTCTGCCTGCAGGGCCAGGACTGGGAGGGCAGAGCGGGGACCCCAGCCCAGAGAGGAGCGGGCCGGCAAGTCTGGCGTGGCGGAGGCAGGGAGGTCTCCGTGTGAGTCTGCCCGCCTCCCCTGCCTGGATCTGCCAAGATGGCAGAGGGGCACAGCAGTCCATTTCTTCACCAACTGTGTGTCCCTACCCTCCCTGGGACAGGCCCAGAGCCAGCCCCCAAGGAGCTCACAGTCCACTGGGGACAGTGTGCGTGGGAGCTGGGCCAGACGGAGGTCCTGCAGGTGTGGGAGGCGGGATTTGATCTGTGGCCCCAGCTCTCCAGGAGGGGACTGGGGCGGGAGTTGGGGCACCTGGCAGGAAGGGAGCGGGGTGAGCCGGGGCTGCGCTGGGCACTGGGGCCGCCGCCCGCAGCCGGCCTACCTGCGCCAGGAGCTTGTCACCCTCCAGCAGCTTCACCTTGGTCTCCAGCTGCCTGATGTAGGTGGACGAGGGATCTGGAAGGACACAGAGGAAGGGCACGTTAGGCTCCAGCAGACTCCACCCCAACGGGCAGAACCCACCCTGCCCCCGGCCTCCTGTCCGCAGCTTCTGAGCCGGGCTTTCTGATCTAGACAAGGTATGAGGGGTTCCCTCACCAGGTCCTGGGACGACTCCTTCAGCTTATTAGAAGCTTCAGGCCAAGAAAAGCTCTCATAGCCACTCACAGCCCACCCCAGGGTCCAGGGTCCGGGGTCCAGGGTGCCCCTGTCCCCTCCACGGTGGGGAAACTGAGGCTCCCGAGCATGCCACGCCAGCACCCGGAGCTCATGCCGGTCCGCCGCACCTGCTCACAGGTGAGCCATTCCACCCAGGAACTGCTCACAGACGACGTGCGGGCGGCAAACACGGCAGGCCGGGAGCCCCAGCCAGACACACCTGTGGCCTTCCCAGTCACGGGCCCCAGTTTCTGAGTCAGGCTCAGGGGAGGCCAAACTGGCAACCCGAGCAGACAGACTGCCGCTGCAGGGGTGACATCTACCCGCCCTCACCACACCCACCCAGCTCTTCAATGACATCAGAAAAACAGTCGAAATCCCACCCCTCCCACGGCCACCAACAGCCCGGGCCTGCCCCGCCAGGCTGGGCACTGCCGCAGAGGGCACAGCGATGACCGGGGCACGCCCGGGCAGCCCAGGCCAGGACGGGGGAGTCTGCTTCAATGAAGCCAAAGGGTGACTCAGGGCAGAAGGGCTGGGGGCTGGGAGGAGGAGAGGGGCAGCAAGGCCTGGCCCGGCGCCCCCGTGAGCCAGATGGCATGAGGAGCCTCTGCGGTAGCCACGCAGCCATGGTAAGGGACAGACCGTCGCACCTCTGTCCACGCCCATGGCCGGTCACTGCTCCTCCTGCCATACCAATGCCCCAACAGGGCACAGGGTCCTCCCAGACTCACGCCGCTGACCTGTGGTCTCGGGAGGCACCAGACATCAGACCCTTCCACCCAAGCCGGCTGGCTGAGCCCACACCACCACGGCGGGGGACTCGGGGTGGGGAAATGGACTTCCCCGGCTCTTAACATTCCCGGGTGGGCAGAGGGGGCTCAGGTGCTGCTGGGGACGGGCAGGCCCGCCATGCCAAGCAGGGAGCAAGGGAGCGTCTGTCTACCCCAGCACACCGTCAGCAGGACCCTTGGGAGGATCCACGCCCAGCCGAGCGCCCAGCCCAGCCACAGGCGGGAACAGGGTGCTCGGAGCCCAGCCCCGCCCCACTCGCTGCTGGGGAACCGCACAAGACAGACCCTCCCTCCCACTCCAGCCCAAAGAGTCACCTCTCAGGAATGTGGAGCCTTCTAGAGAGGAGAGAAGGGCGGATCCCCCGCCAGGCAGACCCGCCCTGCCCTCGGGTGACCACAGCACACCTCAGGCCTCACTACCACTACCACCCGCTCTAACAAAACAAAGTTCCAAGAGGCTCAGTGGCCTGTTCTGGCACAGCTCGGGGAAGCAGGGAGATGGGATTTGACCACACGGGCCCCTCCGCTCAGGATCCCGGGCCCAGCACCTGGCCGCTGAGAGACGGGCTCCCTCACGCCCTTCTCTGGCTGGGGGTCACCAGGGCCCCGCCCGAGCCTGCCCGGGCCCGCCCTCGCTGGCCTCAGTGCTCCGTCAGCACTGGCGACAGTTCCCACGCTGCCCCACACAAACAGGCCGCGGGCAAAGGGCCTCAGTGTTCAGGGCTTGCTGGGCCCAGGGAAACAGGGCACAGCCCGGGCTTCCCAAACCTTCCGTCCTGCACCCCGTTCAAAGGAGAATTTCCTGGAACACCCGCTGGAAGCAGGGAGCAGGTAAACCCAAAGACCCTTCCGGCTCCCTCATCCCTACCCAGTAAAGACAAGAAGCCCCAGTGACGACCTGACCCGAGTGGGGTGGGGAGGGCCCAGTGCCCCACGTGGGACAGGCAGCATCCCCGGCATCTTGCACCTGGTTGGAGCCTTGTAGGGGACAAGAAGCCACTGTCCCTATGTCCCAGATGAGGAGGCCACGAGGAACAAAGGGTCCCCACTCGCTGTGGGCGAGCCTTCCAGCCCCTCTCCCCGCCACCCAGACCATCCCCACAGTTCAGTCCCTGGGACCATCCCCCTTTCTGGCCACGCTGGTTAGAGCTAACTGCACCCAGCCTTGGAGAGGGGCTGGCACAGACTCACCGGAAGAGGCGGGTCTTGGTCAGACCTCGGCTGGGTGCTCCGCTGCAGCCCTGAGCAGCAGGAGGACGCGGCCGCTGTGTGTGCCACCAGCCCAAGGCGGCACTAACTCTGCCCTTAACAGCCACAGAACCATTGAGAGGGCGGCACGCTGCCCACCCATCCCCCTCTGCCTATGCTGGTGGGGTGAGCAAGGGGCTCCCGGCATGTCCCTTCCCAAGCAGACCACGGTCTGAGTCGAGGACTGAGACCCACAGTGGCAGATGTGCCCCAGCACCCTCCCTGGTGCCCCCGGACACAGCCGGGGTCTAACACCACCTCCCAGGATGGTGGCGAGGACCGTGATCGGGCCAGCGCCAGGACAAAGGACGAGGGCCATCCCACAAGTCACCAGCAACACCCAACCGCAGGGCCCACAGGCCACTGGGCCTCCCCAGGGGGCCACTCAAGGGCACAGACCAAGGAGCTGCCCCCGCTAAGCCCATCTGTTCAGGCTCACCCCAAACCCCGAGGGGCAACAGAGAACAAAATACACTTCAGATCACCAGGGTTTGCTGGGCTTTTTTTTTTTTTTTTAAACTTCAAAAGAGCAATATAACAGTCTAAAAAATATTTTAGACCATCCAGTAATCCCAGTGGATTAATTAGAATTAATCCTAAAGAATTAGTTCTAATTATGAAGAACACAGATACTTGTCGTGGCCAAAGCTGGAAATAACTATTTGTCCCACAATAGCAGAGGGCTCCACCCTGTCATCATCACAATGATGTTTAGAAAGAGTTTCTCTCCTAGACAATAGGAAAGACACTTAAAATGCCAGTGGAGGGACTGTACGCAAAATTATGTGAGTAATGGCTGCTAGGCTTAAAATATCCGTGCACGGACGAGGATCCAGGAAGGAAATGCGCAGGAACGCTGGCTGGCGGCACTGCTCAGACGAGGGAGCCGGTGATTTTATTTTTTTTATTTATTCACATGACTTCTTGTTAATTTTCAAATAATCTACGTCTAGAATAGAAACAAATCTTTCTTTTAGAAAAGAGAAAAGGAGAATGGATGAAATTATCACACCTTCCCATCACATGGCCACCCACTGAAATCACTGGTATTTTAAACCCACCAGTCCTGACCCCGTCTCTACACTTCTGCTCCAAAAACCAGGCTCTGCACGCGGCCAGGGCCGAGCGCCAGGCGGCTCAGGTCAAGGGTGCAGGCACCCTGCAGAGAGGTGGACCCTCCCGGGGTTGCAGGGGGGGCAGGAGACCCTGGGAGGGGCCTGGCGCCCTGGGGGGACCATCCTTCCCAGCAGCCACGAAACTCGTGATCCCGCCGGGCGCCTGGGAGCCCCAGCCTCTTGCAGACAAGCGTGTAATTAAATTAATCCCAGGGTTTACCGTAATGAGGACGGGAGCCACCGGGGAGGGAAACATCATTTCCCAGCCTGGCTGCTCCTGGGCAAAATGAGGGAGGTGACCACAAAGGGACCCTGGGCCGGCCAAGGTGCCCCATGGACGCTCCCCAGACACCTCCGGGGGCCCATCAGCACATCCTGCTTCTGCCTGGGAGGAGAGTCTCCCTGCAATGTTCTTGCCTCCTGGACCTCATGGGTCCCTTGCTCTCCAGCGAGTAAGAGAAGCCGTGTAGCCCATGGTGGGCAGGAGCCACACAGCCAGGGTCTGCCAGGCCCTCCCTACTGGCGCTGTCCTGGCTCCCTCCCGGGAAACCCCGCAAGGCACCGTGCCGCTGACCACAGGCTGCCCGGCCTTCTTGGAAGCCGTGGGGCAGGGCTGGTTCCCATCATCCCTCCTGGCCTGGTTTTCCCCTGACACAGTGACATTGCCCACAGTGTCCCATGTCCAGACTGTACAAACTAGGGGCCAGAAGCCATGTCCAATCACCTCTGTAACCCCCTCCTTGCCTAGCTCAGCACCTGGCACACAGTAGGCCCTCAGGAAGAGTCTGCAGCCCTAACAGGCACTCGTCCTGCAGGGGACGAGACAACTCTAGTTCCAGCTCCTGCCAGCAGCAGCAGCAGCTCCCGCAGCTCCGGGAAGACCTGGACAAGGACCTGCAGAGGCCACTGGCAGCGCTCCCAGGCCCAGGGCACCTGCTTCTTAGACCTGACCTGACAGCACCCGGCACTATCCCTGCCTCCCCCAGCTCCCTGGGAGCTGCAGAAGCAGACAGGAGACAGGGGTGCAGTTCCGGTGGGTTATTTGGGAAGTAAGCTCAGTATGCCCCGGGAAGGGAGCGAAGAAGTGAGGCGGGGAAGGGAAGAAGCCAATGGAAGGGGTTCCGGGGGCTCACTGCGGGGCTGTTATGCCCAGCAGCGCCCAAGAATAGACAGGAAGAGCTCCCAGGCGGAGCGGCAGGTGCCAGCAGGTGAAGCCGCAGTGGGCTCAGAAGCCGTAGTGGCCTCGGAAGCGGTAAGCACCTCGGGATCCGTGCTGGGCATCCGCAGTGTCTGCCACGGTGCAGGAGCAGGTGCAGTTTATCCTCTCTCCATAGGAGGAGGACATGCAGTGACACGAGGGGTGAGCTCCCCAGTTACTGGCCCGCCTTGCAGCCCCCTCCCCCTGAGCAAGACCCTACAGCAGGGCTTCCCTGCCCCTGTCACTTTCTGCAAAGTCTAGGGACAGGCAGGCCTGTGGCAGAGCGTCAGCAGGAGCCCAGCCACAGGGGCCTCAGGCCTCCTCCGAGGGGCTCCCTGAGATAGATGGCTGACATCTCGCTGCACTCGGCTGATTAGATCCCTTCTTCTTCCACTTCATTAGGGAGGGTTGGCTGCAGCCGCAGGGCAGGAGGGCCTCATTAAA